TTTAAGACAAGAAATCGAATTTCGAAAGTGAAGAGGAAGCAATTACCACAAAAGATTTGCAAGAAGATTCAAATTGTTCTTTGAAAACTTTGTATATACAGATGGAGTATTATGATATATTTAATCTAAGGAATGTTATAGACAAGGAATAGTGCAAAGACCAACAGATAACGTGGACACTTTGCCTTTATATGGTAAAGCCAATAGTTCACGTTCGTTCAATGGTAAAACCTTCGAATTTTGTACGTGCTAAATATGTGTATATCTAACTAAACATGAAAAAAAATGTGAACAATTTTCGTTTATCTCAATAGATTTAAGTAAAGACTCGTTAGTTGCTATTTTTTCTCTAATTTTTGCTAATGAGATATGATTGAAGTAAACTCGTTTCAACATTTTTATTTTCTTTTGTTAAATTTTTTAGGTGTTTTATTTTAATAAAGTCAATTAATTTCAAGAAAAAGAATTTGGAGTTTTGATGGCTTAAAATGCCCATTATGGACTTCTAAGTCCGTTTTCATTGAATCGATGAAAATGCAAATCAATGGAAAGAAACTTAGAAGTCAAAAACGAAAGTTATCCTTCTCGGAAAATGTAATTTTCATTATGGTGATAGCAATGCCTGATAACTTTCACTCAAAGATTTATTCAATTTTATGCTTGAAGAAATGATGATCACGATTTCTTCCATTTGAAGAACTAATGATCGTGAAGAAAAACAAGCAATAAAGTGACGAAAATTTTATAGTTTCTGTCTTTTAATGCCATATACTTTGTATAAATGTCTATATACGGAAAACGGTAACCAGATTCTTGGACATGATTTTGTCTCTCCACATCCTATGTCACACGGTTTAAGCCATAACATTACTTCAGATAAGCTTGACGCTGAAAAATAGCAAAGGACAAATCAAAATGGCTCTGATGTTGGAGATGATTGTTCTTAGCTAATGCATATTTCTTTCGGCTATGCTTCGAGAAATTCAAGATTTCGGAATGAATTTGATATGTTGCAAATGTTTGGAAAAAGAAAGGTTTGCTTCACTAGTCAATTTATCTTTTAATTACATATTTCGTTTAAAAAGACAATAACTTGGTCATGTAAAAAAAAATTTGTATGTGTCTTGGAAATGCTTTATATACGCTTAAGTGCGTAATAATTTATACCGCTGTATCTATGCTATGCGATCAAAAGAATTTCTTTCAATCTGAAAATTGTGCTCTTTAATTAGAAAATTACTTCGGAAGAGAAGTTACTTTCTAGATTGAAGGTAAAAAGAAGTCCACTATCCAAAATGTATCGAAATTTTACAACTTAAGGGATGAAAGCGAGGTATGTTTAGACGATACAAATTGCTGGTTTACTAAATGTTGTCTATGCATAAACTATTATACTAAATTAGATAATCCCTTTTTTTCGTGAAGCCCATGGTTGCTTTTGTTCATGATGAGAAAGCTCTTTTGTATTAGAAGGCTCTCGTTTATCACTAAATGATTATGAGGAAGCTATATTGTAAAAGAAAACAAGTAAAAAGCGTATAAACAGGCTTAGAGTTTTTTTAAATTATAAGTCATAAAGGCAGAAGTTGTTTGAACCTTGCAGTATCCTAGTATGTTTTACTTTCTCTCATGAGAATAATTCTTGTAAAGAGAAAAAAAAGAAATATTAAAAACAAAAATTTAGTTTTGGATTGACGACTCCCCATACCCTGAGATAGATGAGCAATAGGGCAACATATGTTAATTAAGGGAACCAGATAATCCTTGTTTGCTATTAAGCACTTGTATGGTTTGCTCGTTATACCTGAGATAAAGTAAATTAGAGATTTAATTCACAAAGGTATAAACCATGAAAAAATGTATAAAACATGTTAAATGTTGTCATAATTTATACGTGCCTGATGATGGCACAGTGTCAAAACAAGTTAATTGAAACGTTGCTTGGTTTATTTAATAAGAAGAAATCTTGTAAACAAAAACATAAACCTCGACAGCAAAAAACCCCCGTTTTCGGTCCATGCTTCCCGATACCTTGTTAAGCGTAAGGCACTAGAACGCTGCATGTTAACGTTTCGGTAGGAGATTTCGGCCCCTTCCACGCTATCCTACTTGGGGATGTCAATAGCAAGCTTCCGCCCATCAGACCCCGAGATCACCTGCGATAGGCTTTGCTCGGGGTACGCAGGGAGAGTGCGGTCGCGACCCGAAACGTCTGGACCCCTAAGCCACTGCATACATATCGCACCCAGCTTCCACTGCTAGTTGACATCTACAATACATATATTTAGCTTTATATTTATATACATAAATTCAAAGGCTTATGAAAGTTGTGGTATTATTAAAGTCCCTACTGCGCGTGCGCAGATTATTTCTCTTTTAAATTATTACGAAGTATTTTGTTTACTTCAAAATCGGTACTAGGATGTAGTTTGTCGTTGTCATGATTATGAACTTGCTCAGCTAGTCAAGTCGACTCCGTATAGTAAGGCAGACTGCGCATGCGCGTATAATTTACCAGGAAATTTTAGTCTGAGCAAGCTACTTACTCCATATCATCGATACTCACACATACAGTTAGACGTCGCAATGACGATGATCTTAAATAGTTAAAGTAATTGACTATATATTCTCATAATCATTCTCAATCAATTTGTGACAGAGCAAGCTCTGAAATTGGTGCTTGTATATGCGCTTAGCAAATTTTCGATCATATATGTTTTTGGCATGCTTTTTGTCTTCATATGCATTTTTTTACAAATGAATAACAAATTCATCCACACTTTGTTACGCCATCCGTAGTATCCGTGACAATATTTAGAGATGTTTTTATTTCTCTTTATAACTTTGCATCTGCATATTTTGTGCTTAAAGAATGCTCTACTATTTATGAAACATTTTATAATTTGTGGATTAAGGTAGGAGAAACACTTGAAAATGAAACTTCCAACAGTGAAACAAAATCAAGCATGATAGAGCAGAATAAAGGACGCCAGATTGAAAATGGCGTGATAAATATGAACGTAGTTGAAGCACCTAGCGTGCTCATGAGAGTTTGCATGAGGACTCGTGGGCCAATGAAAACACGAATGATTCCAAGCATGTCGATTAAAATAAAAGCTATAGCGAGGACAAGACTCCAATACAAATTAAGTCATTAATAACACCGAGTGCACTTAAGATATGCTTAAAAAAAATTACCCTGTATGATATATACAGTTTGGATGCTCTCTTTCTTACCTAATATGTAGTAGTGGGAAAACTGTTGATGATGTTGCTGAAGATGTGTAGAATTAACTTCCAGCGTCGTTCCTTTAAGACAAGAAATCGAATTTCGAAAGTGAAGAGTAAGCAATTACCACAAAAGATTTGCAAGAAGATTCAAATTGTACTTTGAAGACTTTGTATATACAGATGGAGTATTATGATACATTTAATCTAAGGAATGTTATAGACAAGGAATAATGCAAAGACCAACAGATAACGTGGACGCTTTGCCTTTATATGGTAAAGCCAATAGTTCACGTTCTTTAATGGTAAAACCTTCGAATTTTGTACGTACTAAATATGTGTATATCTAACTAAACATGAAAAAAAATGTGAACAGTTTTCGTTTATCTCAATCGATTTAAGTAAAGACTCGTTAGTTGCTATTTTTTCTCTAATTTTTGCTAATGAGATATGATTGAAGTAAACTCGTTTCAACATTTTCTATTTTCTTTTGTTAAATTTTTTAGGTGATTTATATTTATGAAGTCAATTAATTTCAAGAAAAAGAATTTGGACTTTTGATGGCTTAAAATGCCCATTATGGACTTCTAAGTTCCTTTTCATTGAATCGATGAAAATGCGATTCAATGAAAAGAAACTTAGAACTCAAAAACGAAAGTTATCCTTCTCGGAAAATGTAATTTTCAGTATGGGGATAGCAATGCCTGAAAACTTTTACTCAAAGCTTCCATTTCAAGAAATGATGATCGTGAAGAAAAACAAGCAATAAAGTGACGAAAAATTTATAGTTCCTGTCCTTTTAATGCCCTTTACTTTGTATAAATGTCTATATCCGGAAAACGGTAACCAATGCTTCGCACAGCAGATTCTTGGACATGATTTTATCTCTCCACATCCCATGTCACACGGTTTAAGCCATAACATTACTTCAGATAAGCTTGACGCTGGAAAATAGCAAAGGAGAAATCAAAATGGCTCTGATGTTGGAGATGATTATTCTGAGTTAATGCATATTTCTTTCGGCTATGCTTCGAGAAATTCAAGATTTCGGAATGAATTTGATACGTTGCAAATGTTTGGAAAAAGAAAGGTTTGCTTCACTAGTCAATTTAACTTTTAATTACATATTTCGTTTAAAAAGACGATAACTTGGTCATGTAAAAAAAAATTTGTACGTGTCTTGGAAATGCTTTATATACGCTTAAGTATGTAATAAATTATACCGCTGTCTCTATGAAGTCAAAAACGAAGGTTATCCTTCTCGGAAAATGTAATTTTCAATATGGTGTTAGCAATGCCTGACAACTTTCACACAAAGATTTATGCAATCTTTATGCTTGAAGAAGTGATTATCGCTTGAAGAAATGATGATCGTGAAGAAAAACAAGCATTAAAGTGATGAAAGATTTGAAGTTTCTGTGTTTTAATGCCATATACTTTGTATAAATCTGGAGAACGGGAACTAATGCTTAGCACAGCAGCTTGTTAGACGTCCTTTTATCTCTCTAATGTTTTTAAGTTTCACTGCCACTGACAGAGGAAAAATTGACGCTTCACGTTAAAGATGGACATATAATTAAAAAGGATTGTCTGAATAAGGTTTTAATCGAATTATTGATTGCACGTAACATTTTCAAAGCTCTACGGTGTTTTTTACAAATAAAATTGTGCTTGACACGAGCTGAAGATCGATAAATCAAGAAAACAAGTTTTTAGAGAGCACATGTCTTAACTGAGATGTCGTTGATGAAATATAATTACATTCTTTTTAATATGTCCGGCTATTTTTATCATAGAATTTTGTAATTATTTATATATTTTTTCATTATCAGTTTTTTGTAATCCTGTATAATCTAGTTAGAGGGCCACAGGTTTGTCAGCTTTTCAGCTGTTACGTGTCCCCCTCTTCAAATAAAGTCTATCTAATCTAATTCACCAGTTTGAAAAATGTTCAGACAGCATAATTCATACCAAAACAACCCAGCATAGTCACATAATACAAAGACATTTGGCAATGAATATCATAGAGAAAATGTATTTTGCTGGAGGATAAATCTTTGCAAACAAAAAGAAGAATAACTAATTCTCAAGTAACTTACATACATTCAAGTGTCACAACTCACAACTATATTTTAACAGTTGTATGTATTCTTCAAAAACTTTTCTGAAGAGTTTCACAATTGTTTATATAAAGATATGCTTTAGATCAAAAAGTTAGAAAAGAAAAATTATCACACCATTTGTTTACAACCCTGCAAAAGCAAGATACTACGCCTCTTCTATGACAAATCTTCATTTCTTACCACCTTTATGCTGAAATTGCTGTATCACCAGTAAATTCGGCAATTGCAAATATTTCAATTTAACTTTTGAAATGAGAGCAAAAAGAATGCTGTTTGTTTCTCACCAACATTTTTGTAAAGCGCGAAGCCGAGTCTTGTTAAAATTTAATTTATGGAGAAGAAAATTTTTCTACGGAACAAGCTTGTAGCAGAAATGATAAAATGTAACATGCAACAAAAATATTACACATTAAAACAATCTCGAATTTTGTCTTGCTTGCTTCACTGCAGGGAAAGGAAATCTTTCAAAGGTTAAATAAGGATACAACTTTCTCGCGATAGTAACTTTTAGGTCAATGAGAGTTTGTTACAACGGGGAAACCGAAGAAATCGTCAACTTTGGTGACATGCTGAGTTGGTCTTCCCTCCGTGAGAGGGAAGAAGAGTAAAGGACAAAAGTGCTCACCGATTTGGCCGAGTATTCAGTGAACACTTCTCGACTGTCCTTGACTGACATATCCCCCACAACGTTGATACATTAACACGTAAAAGTTTTAAAATTTCATTTCCCGTCATTAATTTTACAGTAAATCTAAGAAATGACTATATAAAGTGATAATGTAAGAACTATAAATAATACACGCAACGAACAAAGAAGAAACAACAATATTATTGGACTTAATCACGTGTTTGCATTTTTGAAGTTTTATTAATATTATAGTTGATTTCGCAAGTTTCATTGGTTTTTGGTGTGTAGGCGCAGCAGGTTGTGTTACACACACTTGGAAGTCAGCCCTTTACTCCAGCTTCCCGTACTGTGGATTGCCAATGCAAATCACACGTTTTATATCTTTGGTCCAAATAGTAAAATTCAAATACTAAATAAATCTCATTCTTTGTGTATCTGTGACTGGAAAAATTTCACTGTAATCTTTTAAGTCGATGTCCATTAAAATCAAAATTTAATGGTGCTTCACTGCACTAATTTCATTCGAAAATAAGCAAGAAACTGGAAAAAATTTACACGGATTAATGAATGTGGAAGTTAGAGTCTTATTTCTCGCAATATTTCTTTACTAGCAAAGACAATATCAACTTCCCTCTATCGATGTGTGATTGTTTCCCTTTTATTGTTCTATATTGGTTTCCTTTTTACGTCTCGAAAACAATAGTTGAAAGTCCCGTGATCACGAAACACCTACGATTACGTAGGTATTGTCAAATGAGGTTTTTTCCCGCCTACTCCCACGCTTTAAATACAAAACAGCAACAGCGAAATCATGATTGGTTGTTGCATGTCACGAGATGATCTGTGTTTGACCTTTAACCATATATGGTGGACTTTAAATATTCAGCCAATAAGATTGAATAAGTTTAGGCTCGTTCTTCTAGGAAAAACCCTTATTAATACGACTGCACCCAATTAATGAATTGTTTGTTGGTATTCTTAAAAAATATTCAGTACAACATCACGATTTGCCTCCAACCATAAGTCGCATAAGAAAGTGCTATACGAGGGAATCTCGACCATATTAAATCGTAATTGATTGCGATAAGGGCAAAATCAAAGAAAGTCTTTTTAGGTGTTGCTGGATTTATGACATTTAATGCTCCAATGAATATGTCTGAACAAGCCAACGTGATGCAAAATTATTTCTCATTTGTGAACCTACCTCTGTACCAGGTGAGGTCAATACGTAAAGTCTATCGTAATTTAATCAAACGGTAGTGTTGTATTTAGAATATATCGTAAAGTATGCTATCTATCTTCATATTGCTATATATTGAATTGACTGTCTTGTTTGTTTGTTTTGAATAATACAAGCCCCATTCATTCAAATTTCGTTTAATTTAGCTGCATAAGTAGTCTTAAGTACAATTTTTGATTCTTAGTATATGTTGATCGTATTCGCAACTAAGTATCAATTTCACGGTGTAACTTCAATGAAATATTAATCTTCGTGTTCAGTTGACGATATTGTTTATATTATGGAGGTTTGTCATAACATGTAACTAAAAGCTGTTTAAACTTTATTTCACTTACTAGTTAAGTCACAACTGTGCTAACGTTATCATAAGAATATTACCGAGTCTAAGTTCTAATCTACACGTTTCATGTTCTTTTTATTGTTCGATTTTTATGTTAGATTTAAATGACTTTACACAAAATGCGACATACCAAAGACGTCGGTTCAATGCACAAATACAATGCCGACGCACGTATCTTTGAGATTTCAAAAATTTCAGTTGTACAAGTCATCCCTGCCTTTTATATCGAATGGAAGTATCTATACTATTTAAGAGGGTTCAAATTACATCGCCAAAAGTTTGATTCTTGACCTCTTGTCTGATAAATTCAGGCGATTGCATATTTTTGTGTAACAAAGATAGGACAACATACTGGGCATATTTTACCAGGTGTACTAGTGTAATATTTAATATGCTTGTTGCCCAAATTACGTAGAGCGTCGAGAATTGAAATCATAATTTAAAAGTGATAATATCCATTGCAATTTACAACGAATATCCGTATAAATGATATTTGAAACGCGTGAGGATAGTTTGTCATTAATAATTACTAATTCAATGACGCATATCGCATTAAGGGTCTCATTTGCTTGTAATTTCGTAAATCATGCCAAATGTTTATATTACGATACGTCTATACCATATAATTGTCAAACTTTTATGAGATATTTGAATTTAATCGGAAATGATAACTTTGAACTCGAGTATTCTCATGTTATTAGAACTAGCTTATGCAAATTTTAAACATATATGTTTTACTTAAACGTGTATCGTTCACTTGAGTCAAGACTTTGACATTTTCTTACCGAAGGTTTGCGGGCCCTTCCGGAATTGTACGGCCGTTTTTATCGACTTGTTGCATAAATGATTTTAATAGCTACACAGGGTTTTTTTTGTCAACGATGTTTTAGCCTGTGCTGAAATTATCAGGACTTCCGACTTTTATAAAAGTCATGAAAACTAAATTTGTTTTATCAGTTTTTTCCCCAAACACGATCATTGACTGAAAACCCATGATAAGCGGTCGAAGTCTTGTCTGCGCGGCAACTAATGTTTTAAATTATTCTTATTTTGTATCAAATGTCGTTCATTCGTTATAAATATTGGCCTCACAGCTAGTTATCGGCATCTTGCTTCTTCGTTACTTTCAGGAGGAGAGGTGCACAGGGAGTGTCATGTAAACAAATACAATATCTTGAATTTATTTGTAGTTTTATGAGTGGGCTTAAGTAAAAAAAGAAGCAATTGGTTGAATTTAACGCGAAATGCTCATGAGATGTTTTTACGCCTTAAGGAACTAGTCTGTCTTACAGAAAGGTACTTGTTTCATATACGTAAATATTTTGTACAATAATACAAGACCATAAACTGCGAATCACATTAAATTATAGATTATGAGTGACTAATGTACACATTGCACAAAAAAAACATAAGTGCTATTTTATTATTTAAAGAATGACTAGTAGAATATCATGCTTATTGTAACTCCATACGTACTGTACATCATCTTTTTGATATAATTATCTCAAAATTATGTATTCGAATTAAATGAAAACAAAAGACGGCGACATTTTACTTTGTCTTGCTGAGGAAATAGATCATATATGTTCGCATTGTATTATTTTCAAGATATGACCGAACAAGCCAAAGCATTTTGTCAACACATTGTAAATCTGCCGCAATCTTATTAATTAGACCAAGGAAGTTTAATTTTCAATCCTGCTTGAGTTATACCATTTATATAATTATATCCATCTTTTGACAATCTTTCAAACGTTAAGATCACGCCGCGATCACGTCTTATTTAATGATGATCATGCACTAAAATACCTATAGTATATTAAACTGTTCTTGTATTGTTATATAACTGAAATATTTAATGAAAATACCGTATACATAAAATACGACTGATAACTAATAGAATTTTTCGAACTTTAAATAGTCTTTTTATTTGCTTACGACGTTGCCACATTGTGTGACTGACACGTCGTATTTATGTACACATATATTTCCGACATTTTTATGTGATACCTTTAGACAGTATAAAGCGAAATTTTTACCATTTCTAAGCCATGTAGTACTCGGTAGGCGATTAAAATCTAAGTGAATTTTTATTTCGTTTGAAGACTTCTAATATAAGAGTATACTAAATCAATGGTATAGACGGTTGACGTATGACCTTTAATATGATCAGATTTCTATTAGATGTGACCTGAAGTATGAGATATCTGGCAAATAAGGAATAAATACAGGTCAAATTTCTCAGAACTTTTTGCGTGAAATGTTTGCGTGATTTTAATATTTTGTGGGTGTAACATTTGAAAGAAGGGCATATTTGCAGAAAGGTCAGTTTCTTTCGTTCCTTTGGGTTAAGATATTTTGCTTTCACAAATTCAAACCAATGTTAAAATGTGACAATGCGAACTATGGTCGACGAATTTGTCGTGGTACTGAAGTTATTTAAAAATTGAAAGCAAACGCTTCTGTTCGTTGTTGAACATAAACCGTAATTATTACAGAACTCTTTCATATTCTTATATTACAGTCTAATTGACCTGACAAAGTATGGTCGGAAAGATCGGGATAAACTATTTGACAACATGAAATATTTATAATTTAGTGTGTCGAAATCGCTCATTGTTTGCTAAGATTATGAAATATTTATCTTTAATCAAGAACAATGCATCTCTATTTACAATTCTGGGCTCTGCTTGTTCTTATCCCTCCTGGTGTATGTCAACTTTTAATTAAATCTTGTTTATGGCATGGAGTATGATGCTCTGTATTTCAACAGATATTACAAATACAATCTACAACTTGACCTTCTAACTTTGATCGTAGTTTTAACTTTTAAGCAATAGTTGACAGACTTTTACGTTGACATTAAATTTTAAGTACCAAATATTTGTAGATTTTAAATTTGTTTCAATTTAAATATTTTGGGCGTTGTATGCTATTTGTTTGCAAAGAGATGTGAGATGTGTTGGTAAAATAATACACAGTCATGGTATACTCAATTTTTAGGGTTGTTGTGCTTTAATTTGGTTGGCATTACAAGGCTCTTTTTAGTATTTATATTTAGTCTCTAATCCAGTTCAAAAATTGTTTTGGCTTTTAAGGAGGATGAGTTTGATGCAAAGATCATAAAAGCGGTGAAAAAAGAAATGTCGAATGGAATTGGTGCTAGTCCCAGTGCCCCGCCGTTAGTTGCCACGACGGTTACCATGGACACTATTCAAGATTTAATGCAATCCCAAACATCTAGCTTAGAATGTAAGCGCTTGTTTATCATTTCTATTCTTTAATTTATACCTAAAAATGATTAAGAAACTCTGATTAATTGATATTTGTGCGTATAAAGTCACATCTTTCGTCACTGGCATTGCCATGGTCAACAAGTGCCATGATATGGCATATCGTGATTATCATCTCATATTAACCCGACAAATTCGCACGTTTTTTTCTGAAGACATGCGGGAAAGCCTGTGGCATTAGTTTCTAACGTTATTATTCTGAAGAATAGCCTCCGTTTAAGTAGTTTTTACACTTCCTTTTGGCAAGCCTAAGTTCAAGACTATAAGAAATATTGACGTAACAACATCAATTCAGTCAATACATTAAAATTTCAAAGGAATTAAATATTAGTTAGCAAAAATTTAATGATCAGAAAAGTTTGGTCAGGCTGACTTTCACTGCCAGAACCCAATTAAGTAACATAAATAGATCAATGGCGACCATTTAAATTTCAAAGAACTTCATGGAAATCCGTTGTATTTTTTTAAGTTAAGTAGATTTTCTAACTTGAAGATTTCATTTGATTCTCTTACCTCTTTAATGTTTTTATACTCTATGATAGTTGACGCATGCGCCTTGCATGTGTACGTGTGAAATTTGTTTGAAATAGACTGATTTGATACGTAAAAACTTTAAGCTTTCATTTATTCAAATATGCGTCATTGTAGCTTTATATCGTTTTCTTGTATTTTTGTGCCAGATGATGATCCATGCACCGGACCTTTTCAAGGTAAGATTTTGTTATGTTTTGTATTATAATTATATTGTATTGCACTTACCGTTAAAAATAACTATGACGGTCAATGTGCTTTAAATTCTTAATCCGGGACATTTTCTGAATGAAGAACACGTGAATAAACAATATCGACTTAACTGTCGAAATAAATATTTAATCCTTCTGATGAGCTTAAAGTCTCTTAAAGAGTACTTAGAGGAAACTAATGAACATTTACAAGTCCTGGCAAATCCAGGCTTTGTTTTCTTGGCAAAAATAAAAATTCAATGTCAGAAAAATCATATGAATGGAAAACATTACTATATTTGCTCCCACAATTTCTTCGTAACGCAATAAATATTAAAAATTTCATATAAACAGAACATTTTAAAAAAGTAAATATGCATGCCCGGATCAACATGCGTATGCCGTGCTCAGTAAATTATATATACTTGATGTTACAGATATAAAGTTGCCGTGCTCAGTAAATTATATATATTTGATGTTACAGATATAAAGTTGCCGTGCTCAGTAAACGATATATACTTGATGTTAAAGATATAAAGTTACTAAATAGCCTGAATTGAATTATTAGTAAATTATTACAGTTGAATATATTTTAATGTGATCAATTTGTTTGAGAAGAGCATGTTTGAGTTTTGAGTTTACCTGGGGTGTAGCCGGTCCGCTAGTGAATTGTAGATTTAAAAACATAATGATTCATTTCTTTATAAATCTATTGTTGTAACAGTAAGTAAACTCAAATTCCATGTCAGAAATATTTCTGCAGGATAAACGGCGAGTACTTTTATTCGCTCAATACTTTATAAAACAATCAAAGTTAGATTGTCAATTTTTTAATATTCATTGTAGATACTCGTTTTGATCAGGTAGTTCAAGTCCAAAGTACTGCAGGTTAGTGAAAAATCACTTCTCTATATATCACTTGGGTTTACCTACCAGCTAACATGCTCCAGCTCTTTTTGCTTGTTCCTTTCTTGATTATTATCATGTTGACTTCATTTTAACTAAAATGAAAAATTTGTGCATCATTAGTTTTTTTTCTTTTGTGTAGATCGTCTGATTAGCGAAGAAGACGAAATCAGTATTTTTAACATACCAGGTAAAGTTCGTAATTTCGAAGTGAGAGTTGATATGTGGTATACTTTATCAAGAATATTCGACAATTCCCAATAATGCATATCATTTTCCAAGTCTCCACCCATCTTTTTCATTGCTTAGTTAGATGGCTTGTGGTAAGACCAAATTGTTTTTATATATTTACTGAAAAATTTTCATCAAAAACATTTAAACGTTTATAATTTTGCTGCTCTCGCTCAACATTAGCAATTAATCTATACTTGAGTAATTTGTGAATGCATCTATTTATTACTTGTAAAAGCAAGAAAAGCCCGTCAGTTATAATTTTGTTCCCTTCTTTAACCTTTTCTTTAAGTTAAATTTCTTGGCCCTTGCAAAAAACAGTTTTTATTGGCCCTTTAGCGTCGATTTGCTAGATTTCTTATTTAGACAGTGTCATTGAAATCGAAGTTGTTCTTTTCAGGAATTGAGGCCGTCTCAAATATAGAGCCCCCATCTCTCAGCATTGATATTAACTATGACTCTGGAATAGAGGAAGAGATTGAAGAACATAAAAGTAATAATTTTCATGTTGCTCATTCATAATATCTCAGAAGTAATTTGCAAACTTTTTATTTGTTAATATTAACCAATATGCTTTAGAGAAAAATATTGAAAATTTTTGATTTTTTTAGAAAAACCGTCTGGTAAACGAGGAAAAACAAACTTAAGGCGTCTAGATAGTAAGTCGTATCGTATACCTACACAAATATATTTTTTAAGTACGTAAAATAACCTTTTAATATGACCCCCCCCAATTAAAGTTCTGACTACCCCTCTACGTGTTTTTATTTACTCCAGTGTCGTAATTAACAGTTTGATCTATGATAAATTAATACTGACTATGTCAAAAGTGAGCGTGTTGTCACATATGCATTACGTCAAATGATGAATATTCATATAATCGGCTCCGCCCTGCTAATTTTTTTTGAAATTAAAAGTGCCAAGAATTCATATATGTCAAGCTTAGCTGAATGTATGGATATTCACCCCACCACCCCTCAATTAGCGTCCCTATTCATTCATTTATGTTCTGCATTATCAAGTTCTTCTTAAACGAAACAACTTTATACAAAAATTTGAAAGTCGACACTAAACTCTATAATTGGTGAAAACAAACAAAAACTGCTGCTTTAATTTTAAAGTACAGTGTCTTAAAAAACTGCTCATCTTTACTGTAAGCAACCGCATAACGTATGTATTATTGTATTCAACTGCGCTTACAGCATTTTAGGGATCAAGTACTGCTGAACTATAGAAAATCTAATTGTGGACTGGTTTGAGCAGTTTTTTGAGACATCCTGCACTGCGTTGAGCAACAATAGTACGATTGAAACAATGTTATATGCAGTGCGGTGTTTGAAATTAAATGAAGATATGATCTTCGCACTTTGCTGGACAATTTAAGCAATTGTCTCATGAACCTGAAAAATTCACGTGACTCAACGGAATCCCGTTGAGTCACCTAAATTTTCAACGACATGTTTTTCAACGACATGTTCTATATTGTTTAGAAACAATTGCTTAAATTGTCCGGCAAAGTGCGAAGATCACATCTTCATTTAATAGTACGATTCTTAAAGTTTATGCGATAACACACGAAGTTCTAGAAATATTTACTCTGTAACTTTTGATCAATGAGTGTTTAAGAATGCTTAATTTGACACAAAAGGTGCTTTAAATAATCACACGAATACTTAAAATGTTATACAATTATTGGGATGTCAAGGTTAGCAAAAATTATATATGTTTTCTTTTATCAATTGTAGAACTACCAGCTGTTACCGTTACAGTTGACAACGCAGATGAGTCTGAGGAAGATACTGGTACGTAGTTTAATGTTTTACTCACACACAATCATTTTTCATCGTAAACAAATTAGAACTTATGAACATCTTTTATTCGTGTCAATTGCTCGTTGTTAGCCACTGCGCATGCGTTGCTAACCATTTTGTTCTATTTTTCATGATTGATGTGTATATTACATGGATCGTGGCATCGTGCATTCCCAATATCGTTTGTGCTAAAATTTGAAGCCGGAAGTAGAGAGTTATAATTAGATGCGCCGTCATATTTTACAGTCCCACTCACAATAATAATCTATCGTAAAGAGCCACGATAGCAATGAATTTTGGAGCGCATTGCATATATACACCCTAAAAAATCTTTCAACGTGAAGCTAGAAGCATTCTCTTGCGATATTATGTCTCAAATAGTGTTACGAAATTTTTGAAAAAAACTCCTTTCTTAATAATACAACTGCTTCCTACACTTAATCTCGTTAAAGAAAATACGTAGCAGTTTTGTCGATGCGCCATAAGAGACGCTTCTCGCAATTTTCATAGTAGAAATTGATATACTTTGTACGTCAACCTCGTGAAGTGGGACTGCTCAATATGGTCGCCTTCCTGCTTCAAATTTAATAAGTATTGCGCGATCCACGTAATATACATATGAATGTTATTCATACGCGCGGCAAATGCAAAGATAGGTACGCATTGACTACATGTGGTAACCTGTGACATCAGTGGCGGTAAAAGGAAAGGGATTAACGAAATTAGCTCAAATAATTTTACATAACTATTTCATATTAGTTTTACCAATGTTGTTTGGTTTTTAAAAACAGTTTTTTTTTTATACTCTTCTGTAAAATGGCCGAGTAATAATCAAACCATTTTTGCATTTACCCGACGACCTAATATATATTGCATGTCACGTGACTATGACATCGTAAAGTGTATTCTCACAATTACCTTTGCGTTAAATACATAGCTTTTATTGAATTTTTTTTTTGCCACGGATGCAACATCATCATTTGTCAACTTATCACGGAAGTTAGTTTGTAATCAATGAAGAGGACAAATAAAATGACAAATAAAAAATGTTAGCAAAGCAATCCGCGACATTTTCCAGAGAAAGCGACGTTCGTACATCTGTTTATCAACGACGATTATGACAGTCGGAATGACTCTTTATCGATAGCTGAGTTGTTAGCCGCGTATGCGCAGCGGCCAACCCAAAAAAAGGGTTATGACAGCTAAGTTCTCTGAACAGTAACACAAATCTCCATTTTAAAATGTCGAACACTTTTAAAGTTTGACGTTAATATAATAGCTAATATTTGAACAATGCACATCAATTTATTTTATTTTGTGGGCAAATATTTGAGAGCCTACAGGCGTGTCTGCGATACGTACCTGTTTTTTCTATTGCAGTTAAACCTGTTGGCTTCCAATCGTTGTAAATCACGCTTGTCAAATCACCCTTAACCAACGGGATTTGTAATTTTTACATATATATATACGATGGGCTCTCATCATTTAGCAAGTACACCACTAAAAACCTTTCAGTATCACGTAGGGAGACAGGAATTTTTCCCATTTTTTGATCCATAAAATTCAGCTTTATACACTGTTTAAAGCGTGTGCCTTTCTATCACGATACTATTGAGCCATGATTCCAAAACGTTATTTTTATTTTGCTTAGTTTCGAAATTTCAATGTCAATATCTATGGGAGTTTTTGCAAAGTCTACTAAACTGCAAGAAATTCAACAGCAAATACATTGAATGGAAGAACCATCCTGAAGGTATCTTTAAACTTAATGATCACCATTCTGTCGCCAGACTATGGGGAATACAAAAGAAACGAAAGAATATGACGTATGATAAGCTCAGTCGAGCTCTTCGATATTATTACAGTAAGAATATTTTACAAAAAGTCACTGGCGAAAGACTGACCTATAAGTTTTGTAAGTCTGTGTATGAATATAAAAGTAGCTGAGTTGATTTTTACAAGAAACGTCTAACGTTGTTCAGCTGCTTGAACGAAACATGTTTGAAAGCCTCACTGATGTTTAAAGAAACGAAAAATTTAACGTGTATCCATTAACGTAAGTAAAGTTTTGATTCGAGCACTGTTATTCATGTAAAGTTATGTAATTTTTGGTATACTATTTCATGTAAGTCGAAATATAGTTACGATGATAATAGTTCGCTTGGAAAAATAAGAAATAGCGATCCAAACATGTTTTGTCCAACCAAGCTAATTTTTTTTCAAGTTTACATCGCATTTTCTATAAAATTTTATTCCAGTGGACATTTTATTTTATGCATGCAACTTTATAGCAAAGTTGTTTTAAACAACATTTTGTCAAATCTTGACGTTGATTGTCAACACATAATTTAGTTTGAATATTATTCCGTCAAACCTGACTGGAAATAAAAGCTTTGAAGTCCCTAACTTTATACATTACCTTTTAGTGATAATTTATAGACATTGATTCACAGTGAGACAATCTTAACCAAGCAACAAAATACAATGTGCAAAATACAAATCCCTTATCTGATTAACGCAAATGGCCTTGTTGACCACTACCCCCCATCCCCTTTATTTGATTGTTTTTACCTCAAGAATGAAGTTTTTATTGTCTATTTTGATTGCCAAGCTGCTTATGTTTAATAATTTTTTTCCAAATCTTCCATGAAATAGGTAAACCACTTCCCTGTCCTATATTTTATGTGTTGCGTTTGATTAAGTGTATTTCGCGAAAGTCCTGTTTTTTTCATATAAACTGTGATTCAATATATTTTTTTGCAAAAATTAGTTTTCAACGTTTTTTAACTATTTCATCTTCTCGATTGGTTGTTGTTTGTTAAGTTAATCATTATTATTAAGTTAATCGTTATGTAAATACATGTTTATTGTTTTTATCATTATGTAAATAATTCCAACAATAAAAATTCTTAATTAAACAAGTTCTGAGTACTATTTATCTGGAATTCTCGCAGAATCGCCACTTTCTGTAGTTAAACCAACAAAAGCCCTATTATAAAACACTTTATCGCAGATAGAAGCACGCTTTCTCTCTTCACAGGCGAGCTTTGCTCTGTCATGTTTCCGTGAAGTAAGGTGAAACCCAAGATATTTTCTCAAAACAAACACGCCTTCTTTATAGACTGCTAGCCAATCTTTTTATCCGACTAAATCACAACAACTGTTGGAATCACAGGGAAAAAAGTTTTATACCCGTCAGCCAAATACGGCACTTTTTAACTCACGACAGTGCTAAATTCACAACTGAAACAAATAAAATTTATTTTTGACACAAGGTACAATGTATGATGTGGACTAATTTAAAAAAAGGCACAAAATTATCATTGCTTCGAGCGATAGACATATCATAAAAAAAACAAACATTAAAGTGATATATCAGTAAAAACGTTGATTTGCGATAACAAAACTAGGTTTAATGTCTAACGTATCGGTGAAAAAATATTTCAATTTAGTCAAATCATCTTCTTGTTTGGATGTTTCGATTAGGGTACGTCGTTGAACAACTTGGCACAAGGACATGGTTCTCCTATTGGTACTATAGCACTGCCGCACACATACCTTCCATGGCACGCGGCAATGGGGTAAATGAATCCCATTTGTTCTCCACAGCATTGTACACATCTATTGAATCTGTCTCTTCATTCATGAAAGCTCCTCCAATCGCATACAACTTATTTCCAATAGCTGCTGTAGCCGGACTTTCCCGTCTTGTGGGTAATGGCGGAAGTGGAAGCCAGCGATTCATTCGCATATCAAACATTTCCATTGAGTTATGATCTTCGTCACAATTACTACCACCAAGTACAACAATCTGATTTCTTAGTACTGCTGAACCAAAATACCGCCGTTTATAACACATGGATTGACAAACATTCCAATAGCCGACTCTTGGATCATAACGCTCTACTGAGCTTAATATTGTAAGTCCGTTATCTCCACCAATAGCATAAAGAGCACCATTAAGTGATGTCACCTGTAGACCCTCGCGTTTTGTGATCATTGGAGTCACCTCAAGCCAACAATCTCTAGATAGGAAGTATAAAAGTTTATATAATAACCAAAAGAATTTCAGCAATTTTATTGATCGAAAGCTATTATCCATTAGCGTACATACGCATGGAATTGACGTCACAAAAACTAATGCAAAATTATTTGCATATTTACCTGAATCTATCATTGAATGAGCAAATGAAACCATTAAGAATACCTAGTTGAAGCTATTAACGTACTTGAGGAAAAAAAGGAAAAATCCGGTTTTCAAACGTTGATTTGTACTTCGTCATCGATAACACAATTTCAACAAAAGTGATCAATCATTGCTTGTTTATTCTGTTAGCCAATCAGATTCTAGCACGTGACTGGTGATGGTGGTTTTGTGATTGTCTGATGATGGTTTTAAAATGAAACCGAAATACTACACTTTCAATTGTCTTGTTTGATAGCTTGAATTTAAGTTTACAAGATGTCCTTTTTCGGATTATCTTTTATTTTATACCTCATAAATTTGTCGTCTGGTCAAGGATTGTAGTTAATAGCATTTCTTCAATTCTATAGAACATGCAAGCGTGAAATCTGGAAAACCATGACTTTTTAAGTTCGTGGTGGACAAAAAAAGTATGCCAGTTTATCTTGGAAATTTTTTTGATTTTATTATACAAAACAAATTAAAACTGAAGTGAAAAATGACGTCATACCCGTGCATCTATAGTTGTATATAAACAACGGTTAAATGTAATCTATTTGTTCATCAACTGCTATGGCACCATATCCTAAAGAGTGTATTCAAAAAAAATTTACTAGTGGGATCTTTTCAAGAACAAAATGAAATACCCTTTACACATCTTTTTTTCATAAACTAATTGTCATTACTTCATTCATTTAACATTATACAATTCTCCTACCTGACCGGATCATATCTTTCAACGGTGTCAAATTCTGTGTGAAAGAAATCACTACCACCGACAGCATACAACCATCCCTGCATTTCAACCAAAGAGAAAGCATGCCTGTTATTCGCCATTGGTTTGACGAAATTCCAAGAATTTTCCCTTGGATGATAACACTCCACAGATTCTAAAGCAACCGCACCGTCACAACCTGTACGTAAAAATTAATCATTATAAATTGGTTACAAATTTGCGTTGATCGCGTCAATCTGCACACAAGACAATTTTCCACTAAAAATTCCCCACACGTCTCATACCTCCTGCAGCAAATATCAGACCACCATACGTGGCCACGCCCAAACCATCTCTTGGAATGTTGAGGTTAGCAAGGGATGTCCATCTGTCATTATTAAAATCGTAACAATCAACAGTGTTATAAATAAAGCTGTGTATTTCACCGCCGATAACGTATAGATATTTATCGGTTTGACGCTCTCTTTTTATTACTAGAGAATGTAAATCTAAAAGTTCTGGCAGCAATTGAGTCGTCTTCACTTTATTGATAGTCTGCAAACACACAGGATCTGACGCAATCAGCTGGTTTTTCTCGATGCAGTCAACTGAAAACATTAATCAACAGTAAATAAGTCTGGAGTTGAATTAAATGGATACTGTTATGGAATTAATACTGCAGTAATTCTAACCAACATAAAGCTAATAAATCTTAGCGCTAAAATCATAAAATACGGCAAAGCCTCAACGAATTTAACAAGCAAAAGACTTGTTATTTATTTTCAAAACTATTTCAACTTTCAGCAACATTCTTCTCAAGAGGTAAAATTGTGAAAAATTATATTTATGTTTCGTGGATATTCCCCATTTAGCAAGAAAGTTCCCCAGGATTTCATAATATTAAGAAAAATATCCTTAAAAAAAAAGCATAAATGCCAAATCTTTTGTGAATATGATATTATTACGGTGTTTTTCTATATTTCTCATCATCCAGTTCCTTTAAAATTTTATTCAAAAAGAGCCTAGAGTCATGTCTATTTTACCTTCAAAATGAAAAATGTTTTAAGCCCTCAGTCTGTAATTTATACTCACAAAAAACAAAAAAAACGGAACTAATGTTACTTTACCAAAAACAGGCAATTTCATTTTCGCCTTGTTTTTGCATTAATCATGACATCCAGTAACAACCTTTGCTCATTCTACACGGTTTCGGCTTGACACGCGCGCACTGAGTCATATCCACGATCTGAAAACTAATTGACACTAGTAAAGCTCCAGTAACCTCCAGGTACATAGTCGTATCCTAACTACATAAAACCTATCACAAGTTATAGTTCAAGTAACCACTAGTTGTCTTGTAGTCTACAGTTTACTTGCGAGCGATTTTTTAAATGGTGTAATGTATATGGTTGATTTACAAAAGGTCGGAGCAAACCAGGCCGATAATGTTTATCGTGGTATTGAGTTTGAATAAACACTTAGGGAAACAAACCAAAAAGCAGATACCTAGATAACATGCAAATGTTGTTTGTGTGCATTACTACGAGAGTAACAAGCTGGTCTTAATTTATCAGAAATATTATCTGAGCATGCCCATTTCACAAAGATGTAGCAAATGATAACACCAATAACCAATGGTAGATGGATATAGACAAATTTACACAGGGTTTTACACGACAAATGAAAGAGATTATGAAAATAAGATTGTAATAATGAGGAAAGAAGTTGTAACATGAATGATATGCTCCATTTTGTATGTGATTAAACCTTTTCTTAAATATTCATATGTAAAGTATTTGGCTTTAAATATTGTGCTTTTGTTGAAAACTTATTGAAAATACTACAAAACATCATGCACTATTTGCTAATAGCAGAAAGCATCAAAGGTCATTCACCATGTCATTCAACTGCACATAAAAAATAATTATGGGTAAAAACTAGTTGCACATTGGAAGCATTAAAAACTACATACAATTTTTAGACACAAATGATGTTGGTACTGTTAAAGACTGCTTTTTTTATCTCACTTTAATACCTTCCTCTTCTCGACAACAACAAACTGGTTGATAATTTAATGAAGGTAAAAAATTACTTTTAATTTGGTTGTTACTACATTCATGTTTTGGCTTGTCGTTACCGCTCACACATATATCTATTGATGTTTGAATTAATTTAGTTTTCATGAAAAATTGCACAGATATAAGAAGATTCTAGAAAACAATTATGGCAAGATCTTGTGAATATTACCATAAAATTTTGAAAAGTCATGACAAGATTTTGCTAAAACAAGTGAACTTAGACTTTGCAAGTTTTTTTGTGGTATAGTCCAATATCTTATAATACTCTTGCTAAGATACCAGTAACTCAACCTACAGGTACGTAGGCTGTTCCATTGGAGGACAAACAGCAAAGGACTAAAGTACATATTTTTACTGGAAGTTGTTGAAGTAATCAAGCAACATTTTATAAGCAAGCTAAAATGAATCAGATATATTGGCTATAATTTCAGGAGATTTAAAGTGAACTGACTCATTTGAAATGAAAAACAAGTTTTTATAGGAAATGTTCACGGATTGGATTAATGATCATGCTATCTTCAGTGGAAATGAATTCATTTTATTTCAAAAATATACAAGGCATGTTAATCGGATACGTATTTTATACATATGTTAAGTTGTGCCCCACCAATTTCGTTTCAGAGAAATTCATTTGAGGAATTAAAAAAGTTAGGTTGAAAATTATTTATCAAGGCCCAGAGACTTTGTAGTGGTGACAAACTTAAAGATGGATTTCAAAATAGCAAATACCATGGTGAATGGTGATAATAACAAGGTAATAGTTCTTAAAAGAACTGTTTTAACCAATTTGGGTAAGTGTTTTGGTTAAAACAGTTCTTTTAAGAACTGTTACATTGTTATTATCATCATTCACCATGGTATTTGCTATTTTGAAATCCATCTTTATTAAGGACCATTGAATATATGAAAAAACAACCCTCAATCATGAAAGCTCTGACCCTGGAGGTAGTTATTTAAAAATACATTCACAATAAAGTTACCAAAACTACTTTAATGACCAAAATTCAGTAAGGAAAATATTGATGACAGGTTTAAATAACCTAAGGAATATAACATTTAATGTAAAACAGCTTACCTATAACTTTGGGTGGTAGCAAGTCTATTCTCACAAGTTCTAGAATTTGTGGCAAAAATCCTTTTCGAAATTCAGCATCATGATTAACCCAGGACATTGCAATGTCAAAAGCATCCATTTCTGATGGTACATTTAAAAAATCACTTGATAATAACTTTGAAATTTGATCAAATGTTGCCAGATAAAATTCATCCATTTTGGCAACTTGTGAAACATTATATATAGCAAAGTTCAAAGCAGAGTCTCTAAGAGAGGTACAACCATGTACTTCAGCAAAATTGCTGATTCCAAGACAATTGGCTGGCTGAAGTTGTGAGGTCATGTAGTGACAACATTTAGCCACAATGGACTCAAATCCCAAAAGATGGGCAGCTTTTAAAAGAGATTCAACATTTGTTGAATCGAAGTGGATGGTTGAAGAATAACAGTAATCAACCAAGAGTTGAACGACTTGGTAATCAACTTCTTTCAAGGCGACTTTAGATAATGTGCTCTCCATTAAATTACTTGTAAACATAGTGTAGAAATATGGACTGTTTGCTGCCAACACTACCTTATGACACTTGATTTCATTTTCACCGACAACCAAGGAAATATCGCACAAATTACCTTCTTTATATATTTGAAAAAGACTGTTCAATACTAAAGAACAGTGAAAAGCATCCTTGCTGTTTTCCAAAGACATTTTCTGATCTATTTTATAAATAGAAAAATATCGAACAAAGCATGTTTATAGGTTCAAGCATGCTCATTCATTTGTCAAATATTGCGTGCAAACGATCTTGAGAATAACAAAACGCCCACGTTTTTAACGTGTAATAACGTGCAGGTCCACGTTGAGTGATTCACGATACTCGTATTTTTTATATAACAATAATCCAAAGAGGGCACAATAGCTAATTATTAAAGAACAAGTAACCAGCAAGTTAAAATTTGTTGCCACTTTTATTACACATTTACGCATCTTTCTAAAATAAAAAGCAAATAAATTGCTATTGACTGACGTTTCAACATATAAATTCAATTATAATATTACCATTTTCTTTGCTACAACAATTAGTTTTCATGATTTTCAATCATTTCTTTAATTTATGATGAACATAACTTGTTATATGACGTTTGCATGACAGGTGAAATTTTTCATTTTATATTGCAATATGTTGACTGCTTTTGAAGACTTGCAAATTTTACGACAACTACCAAAACGTGAGTGAAAGTGAAAACCGATTCTATGTGATTCAGCGATTGGAAAACATCTTTTAAGCAACACTCGCTGTGCCAATGCTTATTCTGATGAAAACTTTAAAATTATTTAAAAATGTCGCTCGTTATTCCAGCTGCGCGTTATGGAGTCGGTATTAAGTAAATTGACTAATCCTGTCCTTTGCCAAAAAAAGGATTACGTGTTTAATCTCTCTCTGTTTTAAGTGTCATCTCTAAAAATAGGGATGACATTGACCTTTTGCAACATTATAAATATAGCATGATTTGGAGGTTCTCGTTTAGCAGACGTTGACACCTGACGAGTAGTCTGCCGAAATGCATAGTGTCTCTTCCTATTGGGTGACGGTTCATTGCAAGTTATAACAAATTAAAACAGACAAATTTTAGATTTAAAATCATCTTGAAATTGATGGCTTTAATTTTACCCCTGAAATATACGTCAGAAACAACGTACTAATACTTAAACAACAAACAAACTTGATAAAGTAGAGACAGCGTTTATTCAAATTTTACATATACGTCCATAATTTTTTTCAGTAATAATACTTTAAAATGTTTTCTGTTAATAATTTAATTTTTTTGACTTACATCAAATTGTGTTTTAGACTTTTAAACGTTCATTTCAAAGAAGTTGCCACCCGCGTTAATTATGTCAAAATAACAGAAATGAAATTATTTAGCACATAAAAAGTTTAGTGTAAACTTCAATGGGCGTAATAATCAGTTTTTTGAAATAATTTTAAAGATTTTTATTCGTTTGTTATAGCTAATAATTTTCCTTCCTTCGCTGTAACTAACTATTTCCTAAGTCAAAGAACTTATTGCCAATTTTTAAAAGGAATGCAAAAGTTATCATTATTTGCATAATATATATTTTGTTGATTATGATAATTAGCTTACATTAATAAAATAACATTTTAGGACATCATATTACTTTCGGTGGTGCGTATATATGTAACATATTGAATCATACTGTAAAACATCGTCATTGTAAATGTTCATTTTCCTGTTATTGAACATGTTTCCTATTTTATCGGCATGTTTCTTTTTAATTATGACACCAACAAGCTTAGTTGCTGTTGAAAAGGAGCATGGCCCTCATGAAATGACCAAGTTGCGTTTGCTAAAAAGCGGTAAGTTTGAGTAGTAAAGTGAAATAGAAAATAAAAATTTCTTTAAATTTTGTGGAATGTTTACATCGTCTTGCTTGCCAATGGTTTCTTTCATAGTTAGTCAATATGTTAAACATAAGAGAAAGAAGGATATTTTTGCGACAAGTGCAATTCTTACATAATACATAAATGTTGAAAACTTTTAAATTCTGTCTTATTAAGGGCACATCAAAAAAACTGCACAGTTTGAAAAAACATCGCTATAATATTTTCAAAAAACATTTTGTTGAAATACTTGTTAAGCTTCTAACGATTAATCTTTATACAGTAAAATTGTCGCAAACAATTAATATTTTTCAATAGTTGAAATTTGACGTAAACGCAAAATAAAAGCCTCTAAAGTTGAATATCTCTAATGAATTTTTAACATTAATCGCCTTACGAATAAAGGTGTTAAAAATTAAGCAAATTAATATAGACGACACCGCTAAAGAGCAATTAGAAAACATATGTTTATATTTTTGCCACATGTAATTGGAGCTAAAAAGGATTTCAAATCGCGGCTTATTTTGCATATTTCATTTTTGATAGAACTCGTAAATTATGCGTAAACGTGAGTTTAAGTGACTGAACAAAATGGATGGAAGGCTACGTCCTTTGAAACTTTGATCACAGTAACACCCATTCTTTCCACACAATATAAGGATTTCATAATTTTTTACAATTCATAACTTCCAGTCAATTTAGCTTTGTTAAAGACACACATAGATGGAAATATATTTTAAACATAATTTTTTCAAAAAACCAATGGCCTCTGCAGCTAAATAGTCGAGCATACAAGTTATCCCAAGGAGAAACACGTGTATTATTGAATACATTAAGTTGAATTGTGTTAAAATAAGCAAGTTCTTTCTACAATTTTCAGATTCGTATAAATTAAACTATGAACTAAGTGATTGTTTTTGCAGTTTCCATAATTGATATTTTCCACTTAAAAATAGGTATTCAAAAGGAAGCATCATAATTGACAGCAAAAAGCAAATCTAATTAATATGTCTTGCATAAAATACAAGGAGTTTTCAAATTGGCAATTAGCCAAAACGAAAAGTACAAAACAATCAGTAATTTGAATACAAGCATTTAAGTATGAATTGGTGAAATGTTAGGAAATTGTGAAACAGCTGTTTAAGCCAGAAGATAAATTTTCTATTGAAGCGTTTGTGCGATTTTTATAATCATAAAATAAACAACTACAAAAATTATAATGAGAAAGCTTGAGAAAATTTGAAAATAAAATAAAACGTGATACAAGAAAGACAAATTTCACTGGCATCAATTCGAATAAGGGAGCTGAAGATGTTTTAATTTTTTTAATCATAGAGTAGCTAATAATGCACGATTAAACTCATACTCAAGAAAACACAAGACAGACATCAAATAACATGAAATTGTGGGATTGACAGTAAATTGTTTTTATTGCGCCACTATTAATTGTGCTTTAACATACGAATTTGGTCCCTAATCCACTCATTGACAAATAGTCAACCATATTTTTTGCCACATGATCAACGTTAGGGTTTGAAACTAAATTTTCTTATTGCACAAATTATCTGTTCGAAAGTAATCAGCTCTGCAACGCTGTGCATGGAAGAATGTAACTTCTCATTTACGGATATCGAAAAATTTTAGCAAGCCTTTTGTGTATTTGCATAGTTTAATGAACTAAAATATTTGAAGTGTCTTAAACGGTGTGTTTTCAAAAAATGCATTAACTTTTGTCTTTAGAAATTAAAGTCATACAGTCATACTAAAATTGAAAATTTGGTGTTTTTAAGAAAATTTACTACAAAGGATTCTTGCAATTGCAACAATTGCCAAACTTACCTGCTCATTGCTTTTTCAATGCAATTTTTTTAAGTCCTCTCAATGTAAAAATACTAAATTTTCATAAAAAATAAATAAAAACAACAATCTAAAAATTAAAATAGAATGAATAAAACTTGAGGTCTAGTTACACTACTGATTGCAGCAGTAACTGTTTTTAGAGACGTGTCCACTTACTAATGATGTTGTTTTTGAAACAACATACCCTTCTCCATTGTCTTGTTCAATGAAATGTTTACAAGATCCCTTCTGCTCCGGAATGAACGTCCAAGATGAGAAGAAGATTGGAGATATCAATTGCCAGTTGACATATAAAAGACCAGAACACAATGAAAACTGCAAAGACAAGACCTGGAAGTTTTACAAAATACTTCATCCTCAAAGGAAGGTATTTAATTTCAAATGCATTCGTATTTGAAATTTTCCAAGTAATTTCATTTCACTAATATTTAAATTTTGAATATATTTTATATGGATTCACATGAAATTTTGAAATATGTGATGGCATAAAATTACAATATATGCATAATATAAAAGTTTAACTAATGGTTCTAGATTTTTTGTGAATTCCAAGAAAATTGCACCATGCTTATTTGGTGAATGTTTCATTTGATGAAATTTTTTGGTGAAACAAATTTTACGGATATAGCTATTTTTGTTTCTTCTAGTTCATTACAATCTAATGATTAATATATCAGGTTTTATATTGGCCAAGCACTAACAAACAAGAATAACTACAAAATATAATGAATCAACCATAACGGAGAGTTATTTTTATATCTTCTTATTTCCAGCGGTTTTCATTGCATGAAAAATTCATTTTTACTTTATTTATTGCACGATAAGAGTTATCTAATTGGCATATTAGAAAAGTTAAATTTTTGTCTGGATATTAATTTACTTTGATCGATTTACACAGTTATAAAAAATAAAAATCAGTCTCTGCTTGTAATTAGCAGTACGCAGTAAAAGTTGTAGAATCATCGTAGTTTTTAATCGCGGCAAATTAGTCAAGAAAGGTATTGTGTAAGACAGTTGGTATGTCATATGTTTTACCAATGGAAATCCTTTATATTACTTCATTGCTTACCTTTGTAACCTGGTTTTGCTTGCTGATAGCTCCTTCACTGATTTTTATTGGAAATTTTGTGGTAGTAGGCTGATATATTATAGCATAATTTGTCTCACTAATAACAGTAGGTGTCTCCGTTCTTTGTCTTGGATGGATTAAATCGACTATTTTGTCGATAGTGCTGTCGTTTGGGAGGGATTGCAATCACATCTCCCTAAAATTGGCTTGCCTGATCTTTTTGATTATCAGCTGAAGTGAACTTTTTATTCTGTTTGTACATGTAATAGCATGGTTTCGAGAGCAATTTGGGAAAAATTGCACGAGTGAATTTTTCAAAGACTATCAACAAGTGGATGTTTTTTTAATTGAACGAGAAACCATGATATTACATTATAATTATGTAATTGGCTTTTCAGCGTACGTACCTTTTAGCCGGCTCGTATATTTCAATTTCGTCAGATATTACTTTTCACAACACCATAGTTTCCACACACACCGCTAAAATTTATTTGCCAACTCCCCAGAAAGGACTTTTCTGCGAACTATTACAAGTTTAAAAACTATGTAAAAAAATAAGTACTAGATCACAAAAAGTTATTTCAGATAATTTGCATGCAACATATTATAACTATTAGTAAGTTTTACCATAGTTAAGTCAAGAATCTAAAAATTTTGCATTAAAACCATCTAAAATTCTTTTTAAAAATTAATAAAGTTTCTCGATGGATGTTATTTTCAGTAATTTTATTCCACATATCAATAGCTTTAACTAAAAAGGATCGTGACATGTGGATGTTGTACTGAGTGGCTGTTTTAATTTACCGGATTGTTGAAATCTGGTATTTTAACTATGTGTTTGCTCACACGTGTTTGTAATCCTGGAATACGAAAAGGACGGTGCTTGCCCATTCAAACATTTATAAGACATGACCGCGTCGTTTAATATTAACTTATCAGATACTCTTATCTTTAAGATACCTTGCCAAAATTTTGGAAACTCAGTTTTTGATTTGAGAGTTGGACCTGGTGTAAATCCTTACAAATGCAAATGTCAGCCTGGTTTTACTGGAGAATTTTGTGAAAGTGGAAGTTGTAAGTTTTAAAGATTATATTTTACGAAAAGGCTTACCATTGCTAATTGACACAAAAAGATAAATGAGTTTAGTATGTATCTTACAATCCATTAACCATAGACAAAAAACAGTAGGAACACAGAAATACTGGTGTTTATCTAAATTATGAGGCCTATTAACATTATTTTAATGAAAAAAATATGAATGAAAAACATGCTCTCCATTGTGTTATAGTAAAAAATGATCAAACGATTAAACATATTATACTGAATATTTTTAGTCCCTGTATCATGCAAAGAAGCCATGAAAGATACCAGGTAACTATAAACAGCATCCATGACGAATCATAAAAAGTATGTTTTAATTTTAAAATATCTAACAAAAACTTTTTGGCGAAGTTGTTCAATTTTTAAAATTAAGTAAACAAATTTAAAGTGTGCAATTTTCTTATGCTTTAAGCACATTATCCCAATGTCACTCTATTCAATATTTTTGCTGGTAAACATCTCTTGTTAACAGCCTGTGTACATTGAGTTGCACAAAAAATTCATATTGATAGTTTACTGAAAGTAATAACTTAACGCAAAATAAACTATTGCATCATAGGAATCACATTGACATTGGTTTATCATTTTGTCAATAAAGCTTAATTATTACTCTGTCATTAAAACATTTCTAAAAAATTTAAAATACTTTTTTCTTTGTTTTCATCTCCCGATAATAGCAGTTAAATCATTTCACCGATTATAGATTAATAAGTAAGCATAAGGCCTTTGACTGTCAAAAAAGTAAATTACAGTTTTAGAACATACAGAAAATGTGTTTATGCTATGTCTGCAATTTTTGTTCCTAAAATGTTGTTTATTGAAAAAAAGTTTAAAGGATGGAACGTACTTAATCAAGACGAACACTTCAGAATGTTACAGCAAAGTGTTTTGTCAAAGGAAAATATCAGGCTGTTCAGGAGAAGGCTGGACGCTAGTTATGAAAATAGACGGGAAAAAGGTATGAGTAAAATATTTTTCAGCCTTGCTTGTATATATTTTCATAAAGACGTTTTATATAAAAATATTTATAAATATTAACTTGTGCAACAACATCATGTGATTTTATGTATTTTAAGTAGCAAAAACACACTCTACTTCGAAGTTTTTATGTTTTTCACCAATTTTTTTTCACAATATGTTGTCTGTGATTTTTGCATTGACGTCATCTGATGTAATTTATAGAGCATTTGAGTATAACTTACCGCTAAAGAGGAAAAGAAGAGACAGATTTGCTATAAAGCACTCGTCTCGATTAACACTTATCATATTTAAATCTGCATTTATGTACTTGATGAAATGAAATTAACGTTATATTAACCGATATCTTTGTGCCTTGCTTTGCTAGTAAAGCACAAGAAAAGCAGTATTTGTGAAATTTTGATCTGTGTCTTTAGAAAGACAAAATAGAATAAGTTTTGGTATACATTAAATTAACAGAAGGGATTTCGTTATCCACCACAATCACAGCGTTTGTGTTTATTTTTTGTAACTGCGACCTATGGATTGTTTAAATTTGCCATCTCTTTTAAGAAAAATCTTAATATTTTTCAAAAATATAACATAAATTCAAAGTAATCGGCAGACTTAGTTTTTTTTAAGTTGTTTTTACAAAAAACGAATAAAATTAATCAAAGCAAAAGCCAATCCAACTTTGTACAGCTGACCTTTTTGTTTTGTTGCCTGGTTAAAAAATATATTCTCCTTCAAAAAAACGTTTGAAACAGGTACGAGCACGTATCAATCCTATGTAAAGAATACTTTACATACCATTTGGAGCGTAAGACTTTACGATTTCTTAAACTAAATAAACAATTTCTTTTCAATTTTTGAGTTATTAATCATAAAACGAAGTAATTTCTTATACATGGCCAAACTACAACTTAATCATCTTCTGAGAATGTAGCACAAATTACAACATTAATGACAAGTCGTATTTTTTGACGAGATGTTACTTGTTATAAATTGGAGAGACTTAGAGAAAAGACAGCTCAGTGGAAAGATGAATTTCTATTTTGGTTGGCTGTCTGAAGACAGGGGTCATTTTAATTTTAAAAAGAAATGAAAATGTGGTTGTTGAGAATGAATGCAATTCATGCTTAGAACCATCATTTTTTGTTTTGGGTTATTTTGTCCCATAATCAAGTTACTTGTCTGTATTATTCTCGTTTGTCAATGGCGAGTAAATAACTGATTAGTGCCGTTCATCCCAAGACGTGATAAACTTTATAGTTTCGTTAAAGATTGAAAATTACTTCTGATTATGATTTAGGATTGCGAAATTGAAATGGGCTTGTTCATTTATTTTAAATGATCGTAAAAACGTAAGCTTCAGATGGTGTGTCTAGTACCATATACGTACTCTAATCTGCTTCAAAGCCTTTGGTTGAGAGGGATTATGATTTTAGACTTGCAACGAGCAGGGCCCGATTTAGTATAAAAGTATGAATTTGGAGTATGATTGTAAATGTAGATCGTTCATGTTCGTAATGTAACGAGAAGGACTGTTTTTGTTGTTGTTGACTGACGTTTTGACAAACTTATCGGTAGTCATCTTCAGAGTCAAATGAGGACTAAACGTCAGGTTAGCGTATTTGTTATCTGGTGCTTACGTCATTGTATTGTGTGTACAGGAAATGTATATTGTAATTGTGAATTAGTGTGAAGTGAAATGTTTTTAGTTGTGAAGTGTGATTTAGGTGTGATATTTTTAGTTGTAATGTGTGGGTGTCAATTGTGTATTGTTATTGTGAATTAGTGTGAAGTGTAATGTTTTTAGTTGATCGTTTGTTTGTATTCTGAATAATTCGTTTGTAAGGTGTCAGTAATTGCTGTGATCTGTTCAGGGGGGTTTGTACCAAGTTGGTGTACCAACTTTCTAATGTAAGCCGTTGTCTATTGTCAGTACTGTAAAAAATACATTTTGCCGAGTCCCAGTCAATGTTGTGCTTTGTGATTTGGTGATGTTCGGCAATGTGATTAGTTTTGTCTTGTTTCTTAGTAGCTCGTTTGTGCTCAGTAAGTGTTATGTTTAAGTTCCTTCCAGTTTCCCGATATAGGAGGCGTGTCAGTTGGAGTAGTACGTGCACAAATGATAAGTGATTCACCGTACGCTCTACACAACGAAAACAACTATCTCAAACGTGTTTTTGACAAAAACAATTATAACTCTGACTTTATCAAACGCAAAACTTACAAACCCAACGAACCTAACGAAACGAACAACTCAGTGACAACAGCAACGATACCTTATATCAAAGGTACGTCTGAAACTATCTCGTGTATCTTACGACCATAGAACATACGTGTCGCACATAAAATTATCACAACGTTACGGCAAGTACTAACGAACATAAATGACAAAGAACAACCCAACGAACGACAAGGTGCAGATTACAAAATAAACTGCTCCGACTTCCACTCCTCCTATATCGGGGAAACTGGCAGGAACTTAAATATAAGACTTACTGAACACAAACGAGCTACTAAGAAACAAGACAAAACTAATCACATTGCGAACATCACCGAATCACAAAGCACAACATTGACTGGAACTCGGCAAAATGCATTACTTACAGTACTGACAATAGACAACGGCTTACATTAGAGAGTTGGTATACCAACTTGGAACAAACACCCCTGAACAGATCACAGCAATTACTGGAACCTTACAAACGACTTATTCACAATACAAACAAACGATAATCTAAAAACATTACACTTCACACTAATTCACGATAAGAATACACAACTGACACCCACACATTGCAACTAAAAACATCACACCTAAATCACACTTTACATCTAAAAATATTTCACTTCACACTAACTCACAATGTCAATACACATTTCCTGTACACACAATACAATGACGTAAGAACCAGATAACAAATACGGCTAACCTGATGTTTACTCTCATTTGACTCTGAAGATGTCTACTGCTAAGTTTTGAGTTCAGAAACATCATTGATAAGCCTCGATCTACATTTAAAATGATACTTTGGTCACCACTTCCTTAGATCGATATTGGAGTTAAACATTTGGAAAATGTTTTCGATATGAATTGAGTTAAACATTTGGAATATGTTTTACATCAAAGACATCTGGTGTTTCTTCATTTCTGGTCTTGAAATTTGCATCTTTCCTATTTCATCGTGAGGTGCTCTGATTAGGTTAAGTTCAACAAACGTGAGGTATATTGTGAACACGTTCCTCGAGCACGCTGTAGATTTTTAGTTTGATTCGATGATAAAGTGCACTAACTAAAATAGTTCCAAATTAAACGACACGGTGCATTTCGGCAGTCTGCGACAGATTGTTGCATTTTGGAAAATATTTCTAAAATAAATCAAAAAACAATCCGACAATGTGCACTTTTGATATAACTAGTGTTTTTACAAATGTGCCTATCGAAGAAACCATCAAAATCTGTGTTGATAATCTCTTTCACTCGGACATTGCTGTACCACATATGTCCGAGGAGGCTTTAGAGAATTAATGTTAGCTGCCACTAAAGGAGTTGAGTTTAGTATTAATGGCATCATGTACAAACAAATTGATTGGATGGCAATGGGTTCTCCTTTTGTACCAGTACATGCTAATATTTTTGTAGGCTATTATGAGTGTATGATGTTTTCTTCTTCTGGGCCTCCAGAAGTGCTGTGGTACAAACGTTACGTTGACGACACCTTTTTTCTTTTTCGTAACGACAAAAGTCATTAATTATTTTTACATAAACTCTGTTCTCTTCATCCTCCTTTAAATTAAACGTCTAAACAATAATCAAATCGTCATTTAGCGTTTTTGGACGGTCTTGTCTATAAACGCAATGGTCAATTCCTTTCAAGCATTCATCGCAACGCAGCATTTACGGGTTTGTACAGACGCTTTGACTTTTTTCTTCACAGAGATAAAATATTTCTTTAGTAAAGTGTTTAATAAAGCGGATGCTTAGACTGTCATCAGAGGAGTTCATTGAGGGGGATCTCGAATCATTGAAAAAGATATTTCTCTCAAATGGATATCGAGAATAATGCTTAATAAACTTTTTCATCCACACGAAAAATAAATTGAGCAGAACAGGCCTTTTGTACTAGCTGAGTGCCCTGTGTTTATCAAACATCCATCGATGTGTAATGCTTCTGATGATTTTGAAACTGAAACTAAAAATAACACGAAGAATTTGTTTTTTGCAAGCAATGTTATCTTTATATTTTTTTGAAAAGAACTATTCTACCATCCACCCTAAAGGAATTTCTACCGGCACATTTTTTAAGCAGGATAATTTATGAAAATAAATGTGAGTGTGATGCTGGCTATGTAGATAGAACGTCTCAAAGGTTGGATAATAGGATCAAAAAGCATGTACTAACTTCAATCAGAAATGAAACGGTCCCCACAAGACAACAACCAAAACGTGATTGTAAGAAAGTTATTTAATTTCATGTGACTCCGGATAGTTAAATATCTCTTGAATAACACTCATTGTGCTAATTTTTAGAATAACACTCATTGTGCTAATTTTTATTCAGACGATAATTTAAGAATCATTAAGAAATGCAGTTTATTCCTTCAGTTACGCGTCATGGAGGTTGTTTTAATTAAGTTAACCAATCCCGTCTTCTACCGGAAAAAGGATTTTGTTTTTAATTTATCCCTGTTTTGAGTGTCAACTCTCCATTTGGAGATGACATACACTCTTTCTTTGCATTATAAATATAGATGGATTTATATTTTCATTTAGCAGACGTTGACACCTGAGGAGTAGTCTGCCGAATTGCATCGTGTCGTTTAATTTAGAAGTATTGGGTTAGTGCTCTTTACTTAAAACAGTTCTTTTAAGAACTATCAGCTTAACAAATTAGTTTTACCATTCACCAAGGTATTTGCTATCTTTAGAATTACTTTCAGTAAGCACAATGTTTCTATTTGTTCTAAAAAGCAATGTTCGATATCCTTTGA